AAGCCCTTCCAATGCAGTTCTCGTTTGACATGCGCTGTTAACTTTACTTTTTGTTGCTTCGCCTCTTTTTAATCTCAATGCCTTGCCATATAATAAATATTTTATTAACCTCCTTTGCTCGGTCCGTACCTTAAGTTATGGATCCTCGTTTTTTCCACTTTTTTATGGCCCGCGCGCTACACGTTTGGGCCATAAGGCAGTGGAAAAAACTCGGTCCATAACTTAAGGTACGGATCTCGCACTCGGTTAAAAAGAGCTATATATTTTTTTATTTATATATATAGCGATATGCAGAAATTATGATCGTTTTGTATATACACAAAAGTTTATCAAAAGTATATTAGAAATTAGCATATAACAACTTGTGTACTTCCTAAGAACGCGCGCGCTCATTGGTTAATTTGAGGTGAATATTGTACGATATTCACCTCTGAATCTCGGAATATTGAGTCGGCAACAAAATGGCATCTGCCGGCAATCGTTTGGCTAAAATTTCCGATGAGGAAATTGAAAAAATGAAAGTAAATGCCATTCCTACATTCCTATCAAAACGTTTTGCTAAAAATTTTGCGTGAATTTGTCACGCAAACTAAAAGTTTCTGTTTGTTTGTTTTTATTGAATTATTGTATGTAAAAATAAGTTACTCTGTACACAAGTTGGTGTATGCTAAAACAATTATTCGCCTCAGGCTCAATGAATATGGAGAATATTTACCTCGCCGCTCGAAGACCCGCGTCTCGGTAAATATTCCCCGATATTCACTTCGCAATCGGCGAATGATTGCTGATTACGGAATACTGATTACTGATATTTTTTTTCAGAAAGCCCTAGTGATAGGCAACCCGAAAAAAATATCAGGAATGATATATATTTTTGCTGCATATATATGTATATATATATAAATCAGAGATGGTATCCCACAATTTCTATTAACATTTTGATATACTTTTATGTATATGCAAAAGCATCATAATTTCTGCATATCGCTGTATATACATATACATATGCCTATGCCTATGCCTATGCCTATGCCTATGCCTATGCCTAATATATACAGTATGAGTGAGTAATACATACAGTATATCGGATACAAGGCGGACACGAATACTGTATATTACTTATTAAACGTATAGGTTAGTTCCTTTGTGTTGCACTAAAATTTTCAAAATTCAAGTGAATCTGGCCAAGAAAATCCAACTTAAAATTTATGCAAATGAACACAATTTTCTATCAGATTTACAACACTCTTCACGGTCGTGATTTCTATTGTGTTTTCCTCATGAATTATTACTGAGTTTGATAAATATACATATACCTATACACATAAATATACACATACATATACATTTACATGGTTATGCCAGTTCAGTTGTTACGCATCAACGCTTTATTTGTTTCTATGTCTACAACTGAACAACTATATAGCCATGTAAATGGCTATATAAAGTGAATGCTTTGTAAAATTCAAATATTAAAATCTCCTGACGAGTGACTCCGACTCACGAAACAGTTCTGTAGAGAACAAAATATGGTCGTTTCATTTCTTCACTTAATACATATATATATTTCGCTCTACATAAAATATCGAGCACTATTCTACTGGCGATCGACTACACACATATACACATACATGTATAAGTAAATCTTTAAAAATTCGGTCGTTTTTAAAACCAACTATCGTAAGTTTTTCGTTCAAGAAAAATGCAGCTTTGTTCGCCTCCTTTAGTGAAGATTACAGTGGATGTCTTTCATTTATCTTGAAATATTGGAGATTTCCGTGTATTTTTTCAGGGCAAAACTGCATCATCATGAAAGCTGTACACGTTACAAAAATCCTGTGCGGGAGAGTAGTAAGGTCGCTATTCGTTCTCGCCTGAGTCCTACGCCAGTAGTAACGTTGATATAACATAGAAATCTTGGAGAAAGAGCCAAAAGAGTTTTAAATAAATGAATCCCCCATCGTAGGGATCATTTTGATCAAGTTTTTTGTGGAGTTCGAGGTTTA